GATAGATAGATAGATAGATAGATAGATAGATAGATAGATAGATAGATAGATAGATGAATGAATGAATAGAGAAACCAGTCAAAGGAAATCAAAGAGAGGACAATGAGAAAGCAAGGAAAAAGAATGTATGTTCCAGAAGCTAAAGGAAGACAGGTCATGAGGCTGGGTGTGGTGGTTCACATCGGTGATCCCAGCACTGGGGAAGCAGAATGACTGTCATCAGGCCAGCCTGGTCTACAGAGTGAAACCCTGTCTTAGAAGGAAAAAGGAAACAGTGTTAAGGGAAAGATGGTGTCACCAATTGTGTCAGTTGCTATGGAAACAGTTGTGTACTAGTATGGTAGATCCAAACAAAGCTGATCCCCCTCCCCAGATGACAGTGTTGGTGACAATGTCCTAAACAGAAGAAATATGGCCAGGTTAAAAAAAAGGATTATTAGGTAGACAGAGGCTGAAATTCAGTTTCTGTTGACCAGGAATCCCCTTTCCTTTAGTCTCCCCCAAGGCCGACTCCCTCTGGCAAGGACATCTATTCCCAGTCCATCTGAACAGCCTGCACCAGCTCAAAGCCCCCATCCTGTTTGCTGTTACATCAAATCCGCTTGCTTTTCCACCATTTTGCTCTTCTCTCTGTCACCCCCCCCCCACCCGCGCCGCCACACCCAGAGATAGTTTTGGCGGTTTGATGCCCAATTAAACCTTTCTACCCATGGAGTGGTCTAGCCTGGTGCCTTCACTGTGTCCTTGATGACAGTGTGGTGGCCAGTGAACACTTGCTTAATTACTGTTAGGGTCTGAATGGGAAATGTACCCCCTAAGCTCAGATATTTAATACTTGGTCGTTAGTTGGGGCTGCTCAGATTATGGAACTTCTGGAAATAAGGTAGAAGAAACTGTTGGGGGCAGGGCTTGAGGGTTATAGCCTGACCCTGCTCCTGCCCCAAGCTCTCTACTCTCTGTTGGGCTTCAGGAAACAGGTCCCTGGAGTGCCTTGGCGGTACTAGGTGAGGCTGCCCTACCCCCATGTCTTCCCCGCCATGAGGGGCTGTACCCTCTGGAACTGTGAGCTGGAACAAGCCCTTTCCCCTGACACTGCTCTACCAGATATTTTGTCAGGACAATGGGCAAAGTCCCTGATGTGGCAGAATAGGTGTCAATGTGACTTTGATCAAGGGCAAGGTCAGTGGAGTTCAGCGGGCACCGAAGAGGAAGCTTGACTGCTGTGGGATTCAAGAGGGAATGAGTTTGGATGCCTCCTTCAAATGCTCTTCTCAGAGGGAAGGCTAGGGTATCTGGCCAAGGGAGCTTGTTTTCAAGAGGGGTGGTGTCGCCTCATGCTCTGAGAGGACCGTGGAGGCCTGTAAAGAGATCAAGTGCTAATCCTTGGAGCTTGGGGTCCTCTACTTTTGAAGAGTCTTTGCAGGTGTGATTCGTCCACACTTCTGAGACTGGGAGATTATCTTAGATTATCTTGCTGGGTCACACACACCATCACAGGCGTCCTTGAAGGACAGAGAGGGGTGGACCTGATACACAAGAGCAGGCCATGTGAGGACACCAGACAGAGACACGAAGCTGCTAGTCTCCAAGTTTGGAGCAATGCAATGTGGTCACAAGCCACGGAACTCCAGCAGCCACTACAGACCGGAGGAGGCAAGGAGCAAATTTCCCTGCAGCCTCTGGAGGGAACACAGCCCTGCTGACATCTGATGTGATAGTCATTTCAGGCTATAGGCTCAGAGCTGTCAGGAAATGTTGGATGAACATGTCCATTGTTTTAAGCCACCAGGTTTGTGTCAAAATTTCCCAACAGCCAAAGGAAACGAATGTATATGCTAACAGCCAAGCTCACCTCTTTGAAATTCCACATTTCCTTTATGATACGCAAACATATTCATATATTACAACTGGACATATAATTATCCAACCAACCCCTGGCCTGCCATGTTAAATAAAGTCAATTCATTAGGCCTTTTGCCGTCCTCTTGTCAAATAAAAGCTAGGTGGGTGCCCATGTTTATTTATCGACCAGATCCATGACTAGTCTTCCACTGCAAATCCTTATTGCCATTGCTTCTTTAAAAAGTATTCTAGATACCCAGGTGTGGTGGCACAGGCCTACAATCCCAGTCTTGAGAAACACAGGCGGGAAGACCAGGCATTAGGTCATCCTTTGCATCATGACAAGCTGGAGGTCAGCCTGGCCTAAATGAGACAGAGAGGGGTTTTTTGTTGTTGTTTTTTTTTTAACTAACAAAACAAAACACCCAAATTAGGAAAATTGTTCTCAATATGATAAGAGCATCCTAGAATGTTCATCAAGGCAAAGACATCAGCAGTACTCACAGGCACATCTGAGAAGAACATTTTTCTTCAAGTTCTGTGGGTCCCTTCATTAATTTTCTGGCATCCCGACAACAAGCCCATGTCTCCTCCAAATTCTTCTCAGGGTCGAGTACCTCCAGCACCTGCAATAAGAGCTACAAAGAGAAAGCAGACTTGGGGTAGGGTAGGGTGAACACCGTAGGAAAGGGGGCCCCAATTCTATAACAAAGTGCACCAAGTCGCTTCTCTGGTCTTCTTTTTCAAACGTCATAGAGCCTTGTACTGGGTAATGCGCTGCAGGCTGTCTGTCACCTGGACACTGGGTGCTCAGGCTGTGTGCCTGTGAGCCTCCCCCAGACCCCTAAGGACCCAGAACTTGGGGTGTCTCCTTGAACCTCCGTGGTTCTTGATTGCTGGCATCTCAAGCATCACTCACGCCCCTATGGATACAGTGTCTGCAGTTTCCTTTGAAGAACCACCTCATCAGCTGGGGGAATAGCACAGACAGTAAAGTGCTTGCCTTGATTGCAGGAGAACCTGAGTTCCACCCCCAGAACTCATGTTAAAAAAAAATCTGGGTGGGGGCTGGAGAGATGGCTCAGCGGTTGAGAACATTGCCTGCTCTTCCAAAGGTCCTAAGTTCAATTCCCAGCAACCACATGGTGGCTCACAACCATCTGAAATGAGATCTGATGCCCTCTTCTGGCCTGCAGGCAGACACACAGACAAGAATATTGTATACATAATAAATAAATAAATATTTTTTAAAAAATCTGGGTGAGATGCACACTTATAATCTTAGGACTAAAGTAATAGAGACCTGCTTGTGTACCCAGCTTGGTGAGTCCCAGACCAGTATGAAACATTGTCTCCATAAAACAATGGTGGGCACCCAAGGAACTACAGATGAGGTTGTCCTCCTACTACTACACAGGCACACGTATCTCAACATACACATGACCCCCCCGCCCCCACACACCAAGAGCCATCTCTCTTTCCTCCCCCATCCACTTGGTCCTAGTTGGCCTAACCTCACCTCCATTCTTGCAAGAGCACACCAGAGCCACAGTGACTAGCTTAGGGACGCAGCAGGCTCATGAACCAAGTGGACCATGGAAACTAAACTGTGGGTCTGGATTTTTCTGGGATCACATGAAAAGGATGTGTTGTTCTTTTGCTGCAGTTGTGAAGTCAGACCTGAACTGGAGATCCAGGCCGCCGACTCAGCACCGTAAGGTGACCCTGCCTCAAAACAAAGCTTATGAAACCTAGGTGGGGAAATGGGACTGGGAAATGAGAACCAAGCCCCCACGTCATGGCCATGCTCCACGAGATGCCGTAGAACCACCTCTTTATTTGAAACCCCCGGGGAAGGGGGCTGGAGAGATGGCTCAGCAGTTAAGAGCATTGCCTGCTCTTCCAAAGGTCCTGAGTTCAATTCCCAGCAACCACATGGTGGCTGACAACCATCTGAAATGAGATCTGATGCCCTCTTCTGGCCTGCAGGCAGACGCACAATATATAATATACAGAATATTGTATACATAATAAATAAAAAGATAAATTTAAAAAAAAAGACAGCTGGAGCGGGATGAGAGGGGTGGGTGGTGAGCTGGGAGAGTGCAGATAAGAGGCTCCCCAAAGCCAGGCAGGGGCTTGGCTCCACTGAGCAAGAGGGGGTTTTGAGCAAGGGAATGGTGCCGCCAGACTTGCCTGTTTAGCCTCACCAGTCTGCCTTCCTCCTCAAATCTCACACAGCCCAGGATTTGTTTAAGGCTGTGGTGGGCAAGTAGGAAACCATTTCTAAGCTTTCTAGCGGATGGCGGAGGTCAAATGAGGAAGCCATTCCTAGAAAAACTACTGTTAGCTCAGTGAAAAGTAGCCATTTCTTCCTTCTTGCTGGAAACTGAGTGCCGTTTTGAGATAGAGAAGCAGGGTAAATGTGCCGAGGACCGTGCAGATGAATTAGGAGCAGCCTGGGACACTCTTGACACAACAGAGTTCCTATTCAGGCCTGGCCTGGAGGATACGGTGAATCCTGCTCCCCTCCCCGTGGCCTTCAGATTCTCTCCTCAAGTTCTTTAAAAAAAAAAAAAATCTTTTTGCCCTGGGCTAAACAGACCTAAGTGAGATGGGTAATTCCCTGCATGGCTTGCTGTATCTAGAAAGTCTCAAGGCAAAGTCAACAGAGAGGGTTTGGGAGCCAAACTGCCTGTGGGGGACGGTCTGCTAGGTTGAAAGGCTGCACGGGAACCTGAGGGTATGACCTCCTTTCCTATAACGTGCACCCCAGGGCCTCCTGGGCACCTGGAGAGAATTATTTTCAGACCCTCACCCCAGACTGCACCCCCTCAAGCCCAGACAAATCACCTGAGGGGGCAGAGCTTCTTCCAGATGTGGGTAGAGAGTCAGGGGGTGCAGGGCCATGTTATCTTCCACATCCAATAGGAATGCCTTCCTCGCCTGTGGAAGCTTGGATAACAGGGTGGCCCCCTCGGGCAGTCCATTCTGCCTCTTCTTGGGGGTAGCTTGGGGAAGTCTGTGATGAACATGAGGCAGAGAGACATCCTTGGGGTGCTGGTGTTGGTGACGGCCTTTCGGGAAGTCATCCAGTCCCTCTCTCACAAACACCCAGCGCCGGCTGTTCACAGGTCCCGGGAACCTCAGCCTCTTGGGCTTCATGAAACTCTTGGAAGGCAGGGTCTCCAGGTGCCTAGAAGACACAGGGCAGGTGATGTGCATCCCAGGACCCAGGTGGGAGAAGGGGGTAAGGAGACAGGCCTCCATCTATTGTGAGGGAGGGGCAGGGGGCAGAGGAAGAGGGCGTCACAGGAGGCTGAGTTACCCATGCTCTGCAAGCCCCGACCTTGTGTGTCCTGCTGTGTTCCCAGGGCCTGCTCCGATCGCCCACTTAAGCAAAGCCACTGTTCTGAAGGGGACCTGTACCTTAGCCTGCACACATCCTTAAAGCATCAGCTATCCCTGAGCGCATGTATTCTAAATACAGATGCTTTTTTAGCGAGTACTCTATTTCAAAGTCTTACCTGTGCCATCCATGACACTATATTTTAAAGGCCCATCCATGTGTAAATTTAAGCATTTGCTATTCTAACTACTTCTGCCATGTTAAAAAAAAAATCCATTGTGTTTGCGAAGAACAGTCAGGCCGGTTCCCCTCCCAGAGACAAGGGGCAGCAGTATGGCAGGGAGATCTGAGGTCCCCGTGGCAATGTAGCTCTTGTGATGAAGAGTTTACTGTCAGCTTGACTGGATTTGGAATTGCCTAGGAGACGCACTCCTTGGCATGCCTATGAGGACATTTCCGGGAGGGCTAGCTGAGGAGGGCGAACCACCCTGAATGTGGGTAGCGCCGTGCCACGGACTGAAGGCAGGGACTGAAGAGAGGAAGCGCTGGTATTCTCCATTCAGTGTGAAGAATCCCAGCTGCAGGAGTCACACCATGAACTCAGCCCTGCCTTCCCCACCACTATAGCCACTTCCACCTCAAACCCCGAGCCCAAAGAGATCCTTCCCCCATGCGTGGCTTTGCGTTGGTATTCTGTCATGGGGATGAGAAGGGTAACTCCTGCAGCCCCTCTGTAACTGAATGAATCCATGTGTTAGACATCCTCTGTGGGCCCTTGTGGTGGTTTGAATGAAAATGGCCCCCACAGGCTCACAGGCAGTGGCACGACTGGGAGGTGTGGCCTTGTTGGAGGAAGCGTGTCACTGGGGGCGGGTTTTGGGGTTTCAAATGCTCAAGCTAGTGTCTCTTTCTCATCCTGCTTCCTGCTGATCCAGATAGAACTCTCAGCTCCCTCTCCAGCGCCATGTCTGCCTGCACGCTGCCACCGTGCTTCCCACCATGATGATAATGGACTAATTTTCAACTGAGGAGGAAGACTGGGAAGTGATAGTCCATGAGCTGCATGAAGTCCACAGCGTGTCATTTAGATCTGTGTGTGTGTGGGGGGGGGTGTACAAAGTCTGACAAGTGGGTTTATGGACAATGTGCCTGCTGCCCAGCCTAATCCCAGGACCCACATGGTAGGAGAGAACTGTCTCCAAAAAAATTGTTCTTTGACCTCCACACGCACATGATGGCTTATGTGTGCAAAAAGGTGTGCATACACACACATACACACATAGATAAAGTTTCTTTAAAGAACCATAACAGCTACGCAGGTGGGGAACTCCCCACAACACAGTGGGGAGCTGCTTTCAGTGCTTTCATATATCAGCCTATTTCAGTGTCGTAACAACCCCACGTAGTCAGTACTAGTGCTATTCCTATTTATAGCTGACGTGAGGCATAGAGAAATTAACACACACACGCACACATGCACACATGCACACACGTCAAAAGCTATACAGGTGTAACGCGCTCCAGGGAACCCAAAGCCTCTGGCCTCCATGGGCACACACACTTAAGTGCACATATCCACAGGTGTGCGCGCACACACACATACACGTATGCACAAACATAGAGGAGGGACTAGAAACACTAAAAATAAATTCTAGATAAAAAGTTCCGTGGTGAAGAGGTGGCAGGCCTGGGATTTCTAATGTAGTTCAAAGCACCAGTGAATGGCGGCTAGCTGCACGCTGGAGCTGATCATTTTTATAATTTTCTCCTGAGTTGTCTGGCATCTCAGGTCCCCTTGCAGAATCCAAAGGCTTTCTATGTTTTGGACCACTAGATGCATATTTTCATGGAGCCACAGGCGATCTTCCACTGTTTACCTCAGGTGAGCCATAGACGTTTCCTTCATCCCTCCTCCCCTCTGACTTTCACAGCCCGCATCTCTCTGCTTCCTTCCCCTCTGGGCTCCCACTAGGACGGAGCAGTCCAGTCACAGGGATGGGATGGAAGGGACAGACGGCACACGGGAAGGAAAATGATACCAGATCTAGAATATTCAGACACAACCAGTGATAAAGGCAGGCCTCGGAACCCGGGCAGCTGATGGCCCTAAGTAATGTCAGCCTGCCTCAGACATTTTGAAAGCTATTGTCTTCCCTTTCTTCCCTGTCCTGTTAGCCATAATGGCCCTTTATACTAAATCCAATCTTTGCTGTAACCATCGTCACACATTTATAAGAGATTCTAGCCTGGTTCTCAGTGGTTTCCAGTGAACCCTAGAATCTTCTTTGCCATATGTAAGTATACAGGTGTGTTTGAGGAACTTAACCTCACTGCATTCTAAAAGTCTCCATGAAAGGACCAAAAAATAAGTTTGCAGAAAGTTTCTCCCTGCCCTTATAAGTCACTCTCCAAACGGCTCGAGGTATGGGTGTGTTGAGCCACATCTCGTCTTGGGGTTTATGACCAGTCAGCTCTACCTATTAGCAAATAACCCTCCATAACTATCTTCATAAAGCTTATATTCTATATTTATAACTAACTTAAACACCCAAGCACTTCCTAAAATCAGTAAACAAATTAAAACATTAAATGTCTTTGCTTTACTACAGCCATACATCTCAAAATGGGAACTGCATAGTAGCTAGTTTGAGACTCAGAATTCTGAAACTGGCAGAAGGCCTGAGGGAAACTGAGTCTCCCTAACCTCCCTTTCAGTTCTGAGAGGTGCATGGATGTAAGAGGAAGGGCCTTCTTCTACTCCATCTTCTCATAGATAAAAGCTTAACTCTGCATTTTCTTTTCACCTTTATTTGCTCATACATTTTGAGAGACAGCCTCCTATAGCCCAGGCTACTCTCAAACCAGCCTTGTAGAGGACACCTTGAGCCACCTTCAACTTCTGAGCCTCTTGCCTCCAGCTCCCGAATGCGCCATCTCATCTGGCTTTAGGGTGCTGGGGGCTGAACCCAAAGCTTCATGCTAGGTATGCACTCTGCAAACTGAACAACCCCCCAACTTCAGCTTTCCATTATCTGCTTAGGCCCACAAATAATCTCGCTTGACCAACAATATAAAACTAGAACCATTTTCCCCTGAATGTTTGCTATTTTCACAGACATTTGTATATGATACATTGACACTTATCCTAAGGAAATGAAAATATATTTTCTTTCAAAATCAAGCACAGAAAGATTCATGGCAGCTTCGTATACAATAGTCAAAAACTGAAACTAGCCTGGATGTCTTCAAGTGCATAAAGAAACAAACATGCCACAGAGCACACTCCTAAGCAACCAGATGAACAAATCGTTGACAAGCATAGCATGGATGGATCTTACAAGCTTTATGGGTGAGAAGAGTCGGTATCAAAAGAGCATGGCCTATGTTGTTCTAGCTTGCTAGCATTATTTTTTATTTTTACTTATTGATCACGTTCCCTGGACTTGGAATTACAGGCACTTGTGTGCTGCCTGGTGGAGGTGCTGGGAACCCAACTCCAGTTCTCTGGAAGAGCATCAGGTGTTCTTAATTGCTGAGCCATCTCTCTAGACCCTAGGTAACACTCTTAAAATGCTCAAAATTACAGAACTGGGGAACAGATTTGCGGTTGGTCTGGGGAAGAAAGACTGACAATGAGGGTCCCACAGTTGTTCCTGTGTGGTTGGTTGATGTAAAATGTCCCCCACAGGACATTGTGTTTAAACACTCGGTCTCCAGCTGGTGGCGCTCTTTTTAGAGGTTATGGAACTTAGGGGGACATGAAGCTTCTCTGGTCTTCAGGGTAAAACTCCTGCTCTGCTTCCCACCTATCTGTGATCCTGATCGCCCACGATGTGTGCAGTCATGCCAAGAGCTCTCATCTCCGTGGATGAGGCAGCCTGGGCTGCCCACTTCCCTCACTGGCAGAGACCCATACCTCCCAAAACGATGAGCCAGAGCCAGCCCTTCTCTGTTTTCCCCATTCCACAGCAATGGGGAAGGTAATTAATACTGATTATGAAACAGTTTGGAATCTTGAAGTATACATATGAAAATTCTACAGACGTGAGAGCTGTAAATGCAGAGATCTTGCTTAACCACTTGGACCTTGTGCCAAGGTCACTTTCCTGGCATGGTGGCACGTGAGACAGTGCCATCAGAAGACACTAGGGAAGGCTCTGTAGGATTTTAGACATTCACCATCTCCCCTGAACCTACAATTATTTCAAAGCAGATAGGTTTTCAATGCAGGGGGCGGGTGTTAAGACTTCATAAAGGCTCCCATAGATAGAGAGCACTGTGTTCTACGTGTGGCTCATCCCAAGGGTCCTCACAGACCTGCAGGACTGATTCACTAACATGTCCAGTTTCACAGTAAGAAAACAAGAGCCCAGAGTGCTGGGTGTGGTGGCACACCTCAAATCATGCTCTCTGGAGGCTGAGGCAGGAGGACCACCAGCTTAAGGCTAGCCTAGGCTACATAGTGAGCTACTAGCCTTTCTGATTCTAGGTCTGATGCTCCATTCATCATCCATTGAAAGGCCTCTTCACCAACCAGAACTCACTCTCAAGCAAGGGGAAAATAAAATCCTTTTCCCTGCCTCACCAACCCTCCAAGTAGTGACCTGTCTTCCCAGGACTTCAAGCATCTCCCACCAAGGGTTCTGCTGGGCCAGAACCTCCACCTGAAGGGCTAAAGACTCCAGGTATTGCAGATGCCATGAGCTGAACCAGCGGTCTGTTTAGTCCCCAACTGTGTGTTGCAGGCAGGAGCTCAGAGGCCTGAGCTATAGTACAGACTCCCTAGAGGCCACTGTGTGTCCCTATCTGGCCTGGGGACTTCAAAGGACTTCTCCTGGGGCTTGTGGCAAACAAACCCAAAAGGCTGTGTCCTTTAGGGAACGGGGATCCAGCACTGATCTTACTATTGCGATAGTAAGATCACAGGGGACACCGTGAAAGGCAACTCCAAGCAGCAAGGACCTTCCCCGCCCAGCCCAGGGGATCCAGGCTTCCCAGATCAGCGGTTGCTTGAGTCCCAGCGG